TTTTTTGAGTTTTAGCCAAAAATTTAGTCAAAAGTAAGCAAGAAAATTACCAGATGATTAATCTTAAGTTGTTCAAACTTCTAAGCAGACGTTTGGGTAAAAAATTCAATTTTGTGAAAAATTTACTAATTTTTTGTCTTTTTTAAGACATTAAACACCTTAATCACATCGTAAAAATTAAGTCAAAAATTATGTAAATTTTTTCATTCTCAAAAATTTTGCTAAAATGAACCTTATAACATCACTAAATTAAATAAAAAATAACGTACTTTTTGCATTTTTTTGTTAAAATTGTGTAATTTAATTCCAAATTCTAAACTTAACATTGGCAATTCTAAGCTAAAAAATCTAAAATTTTCATTAGTTGAACTTTAAAAATCAATTTTAAAAGATGAGAGACACTAATTAGCGATTTATAAATCTGAATTTAAAGTTTACTAAAGAATTCTGACTATGAATGTGATTTGTAAAAAAATCACCAATTTATCACGAAAATGCATTTTTTTCGGAATTTTTAAGTGTTTAACTACATTTTTCAGCTAAAATTGTTTTTTTTTCGAAAAACGATAAGTAAATTAGATCAAAAATGAAATAATTTTTGCCTTTTCTGTGAGTTTTAGTAGTTAGAAAAGCAATTATTTTGCAAAATTTTGTCCGTAACAAGCCGGAAAATCACCAAATCACTACAAGAACAAAATAAAATTTGAATTTTGCGAAGGTTTTAGTGAGTTTTCTGACCACAAACATAATTTTTTGTATTTGTTCAAAAATAAGCAAAAAAAATTTAAGATTACAATAACAACAGTGTTTTTGTCTCTGTTTGAGTTCTAAAGCCCATTTTCGAGCTGAAAACTCATTTTATTCAATCAATTATGACAAAAATGGTCACTAATTACGTCAAAATTGAATTTTTTTTTGATGTTTTTTGAGTTTTAGCCAAAAATTTAGTCAAAAGTAAGCAAGAAAATTACCAGATGATTAATCTTAAGTTGTTCAAACTTCTAAGCAGACGTTTGNCCTTAATCACATCGTAAAAATTAAGTCAAAAATTATGTAAATTTTTTCATTCTCAAAAATTTTGCTAAAATGAACCTTATAACATCACTAAATTAGATAAAAAAAATTACGTCATTTTTGTCTTTTTTGTTAAAATTTTGTAATTTATGCCAAATTCCAAACTTTACATTGGTAATTCTAAGATTTTCATTTTTATTTCGATGAAAGAATTTTAAAAGTTTAATTAATTACCGATTTATAAATTGGAATTTAAAGTTTACTAAAGAATTCTGACTGTAAATGTAAGAACTTAAAGGAATCAGGTTTGAAAGAAGAAATTTTAAGTTTAAGAACGGAAATTTGCTACAAATGTCTTACAACAGAAAAAGGATTTCTGTTTTTCTCAGCGTTAAAGTTTTAAATTTTTTTTTTAAATGAGTTGAGTTTTAATATCCGAAAATTTTGAAGTTTTTTGAAAGATGAAATTTAAAAAAGTTTTCATTCTGAAAAACTTGCTGTAAAATTATGTAGTGTTTTTTCACTTTACAAAAAAAATAATAATATTCTGATGTGTAAAGTCCATCTTTCCCGCTGATTTACCCTAATTGAAATTACAATAAAAAGTTTTGATTTTTTTTATTCGACTTGTGTTTGGTTGAAACTGATCACGAAAGAATCCGATTTGTCAATTTTGAGAAACAGGAAGTCGATATTTGAGCACCCAAATCGCTTGTTTTCAGCCAAACTCGTGTTGTAAAAGCATAAAATTCGTCCTTACCATTCGAGGATTGTTGCGGAATCGGTGGAACTGGCACGACTTTTCCCATAAGGACCCTAGCCCCCAGCTCGTTCTCTCCGCCCCAATTCCCATACGACGTCGACCTCTCCAAAAGCCGTTGTCTGGCATGTTTCTCAATAACATCGGCACAAACATACCGACCGCAAAATCTCGCCCACTGATCGGCCCGAAATCCACGTCCATTATCACGCAATGTCGGATTCGCTCCTGAAACGAATTTTTTACAATTTTTAAAATAAACCAAAAAATTCTTACATTAGAACGTAAATATCATTTAAGCCTTTTTCGAGCCTTTGAGGACGTTCTTGAGCTAAAAACTAATTTTTTTGCAAGATTTTGTTAAAACAGTCCAAAAAATCATAAGCCAAAAATTCACCAAATTACGAAGAAAATTATATTTTTTCAGATTATTCATGAAACGTCACAAAAAAATTCCTGGCAAAAAAATATGGAGCCTGATTTTTACAATTTTTAAAATAAACCAAAAAATTCCTACATTAGAACGTAAAATATCATCATTTTAGCCTTTTTCGAGCATTTGAGGACGTTTTTGTGCTAAAAACTAATTTTTTTGCAAAATTTCCTTAAAGCAGTCCAAAAAATCAAAAATTAGATCCAAAAAATAATATTATTTTTGTTTGGATTCGAGTCTTTTGTGTTTCATCCATAAACGTAATAT